TTTAGGATAGTAGTAGTTATTACGGCAATAATTGTAAAGACGTTGAATAAAGTCGAATTAAGTATTGGCATCGAATCCTTGGATTCGTTAATCCTTATTATTATTATTTTATGAAAAAAAAAATTTGGCGTTTGGCCTATATAACCTCATTTTTTTGACATTAATGTACTTAGTAGTACAATAAAAGTAGTTATTAATGTACTTATTTAGGATAGTAGTAGTTATTACGGCAATAATTGTAAAGACGTTGAATAAAGTCGAATTAAGTATTGGCATCGAATCCTTGGATTCGTTAATCCTTATTATTATTATTTTATGAAAAAAAAAAATTTGGCGTTTGGCCTATATAACCTCATTTTTTTGACATGTTCTGGTGGACGTTGATCCAAAAGGTCCAAAATTTTAGTAAACAACATTTTTTCTCGGTTTCGTGACCAAATAATCTTATGATTCCGTTGGAAACAAAATATTTCATGAGTTTTGAGTGACTCATTAAATAGGTTTACGATATTCAGATTTAAAACAGCCCATTCGTAGATGATAAAGTTGTAGATATGATAAAATAAAGCCATTCACTAAGATTTAGATGGATGTTAATAATTTGATAAAAAGGGGTCTGTTCCATGGAATATAAATAATTTCAATGTTTCCGTTTATACTGGGGAAATATTTTAACCAAGTGAAAAATAGAAATGCTTATTTAACTATATTTTATTATTTTTTGAAATATCTTTGACACATCAAACTAGCTTATATTATCAACTAAACTAGCTTATATTATCAAACATGTTCATTCTGTTTAATATCCACCTAAATCTGAATCTTGTAAAAAATTGAAAGAACTAAGGGAAGTTGGATCCAATAATGGTTTTTCTGATGTCAGAAGCTATTTGAAAATTATTAATTTTTTTTATGATCGTTATATTTAAAAGAGGGGAAATATTCAAAAGATATCAGGTCTGAATGACTGTTTGTATTCCAAGAATCGTTTTGAAGAAACTTGACAAAATATTAATCCCCTGATATTGGATTCTCCAAAAGGTCAGACTGTTTTGTTTTTTTAAGTCTAAATCGGGAAATTTTAGATCGAGCCAAAATCTGTTGGATTATAGGTAACATATTTCAGGGGATATTCTGTACGTATTATATTAATACATGCAGATATATTAAAGCACATACGAACCGGAATGCTATGTAGTATTGGTGGAAAGCCATGAGTTAAATTGGACTGAAATAATACTGTTTTGTGTTGTAAATGACAGCCTTATGTACGGAGTATAATACATTGAGTATAATACAGCCAAACTGGTTAGGGTTAACCACTGTAGGTTAACTGTTACAGCACCAAACATATCAAACACTGGTTGTGAGTGTGAAGGTCAATAAATGTTACATAACTTCCAAAGATAGGAATCAAATTAGTATATATGGTAATAATTCATTTATTCAATTATTATAACAATAATGCAATTATTATATTTGGTTAAATACTTGTATTTTTACAGTCTAAGTCTCCACAATTAAGGAAATAATAGAGTTGTTGTTAAATAAAAATTAAGAAAAGAACCATACCGGAAAAAAAATGATAGATCAGCCAATACAGTTTCTACTACTTTAGTTGGTAATAAAGTTGTGAAGCTAGACGAATAATAGAACTATTTAAACAATAATAATAAATATATACTTAATATATGTACATATTATATATATATTATATATATATAAAATATATATATATATAATATATATATATAATATATATATATATATATATATATATATATATATATATTCCTATTTCACAATCCGATCTCTTATCAGTTCTGCCAGACGAAAACCAATTAATTTTATACACTGAGTTTTTTATCTTTTTTTTCAGTTGTTGAGAAATAAAATCGATAAAATGGTGAAAGCTAATTTTTTTTAAATATTTCTTATGTAATAGTAGTTTTTAATGTACTTATGTAGGATAGTAGTAGTTATTACGGCGATAATTATAAAGAGGTTTAATAAAATCGAATTAAGTAATTTTCAGAAACGATTTTATTACATAGTTTCTATCCATTGGTTATTAATACAAACCTCTTGTAGTAATTCCCACAAAAACAGGTCGTTGTAATCTGTTTTAAAATATCGACAGGTTGGATATGTCAGTTTTTTAAAGATTATTTATAACCCCATTAATTTCTTTTAACCTTACCTCCCTATAACCAGTGCCCAAGTGATAGAATGTTACATTATTTAATAAATAATGTTAACTTAAGGTTTCAGACAAAACATATTTTCTATAATATTTAAATTAATTTTTAAAAAGTAAACATTTTTCGATTTGCTTCATGAAGTAATATTCCTAGCCTGTAAATATGAAATGGATCCATTAATTTTCTTTAGGATGACAAGGAATAAAAAAAATATATTTAGGGCTATATTGTATTATTATTACAAAGCTCTATGAAGTCAGGTACCTTACTGCTTCAGGCGGAACCTAAACCATATTGATTAAACCACAGGTGGAAAACCTGTGGCTTTTAAGTCCTCATTAATCTATCACCAGAATTAATTAATATGTATTTTTTATCCAATATTATCTCGATGTATTTATAATATTTAATATAGCTCGATATCATATTATTGTTGTAATAATATTTAATATATTTTATATTATATTGTTATTGTATATATTTTGTTGTACTATATTATATTTGAAATTGTTAAAAAAAAAAAGTAAAGTTTGTGAACTTTATTTACTACATATTGATGACATGATATATGTTCTCATATGGTCGAGTCTAATTTAAATTACTCGTAAATCGTCAAACATACGAATATGTTCTCTATTTGGTTAAAGATTTTATGGTTATTTAGATGAGATGTGTTTTACCTGTATTGTATCAATAAATTTTTCGTTTTTCAGTCAGATATTGCCTGAATCAATGAAATATAGATTGACTGCATATTAAATGCTATTCAACAGAGACTTGGATTTGATACTGATTGTCAGGAAAATAGTTTTAGTGTAATGTAATCGTTTTACTTCATATTAAAACATTTTGTGCTATGTATTGAACATAGTAAGTAATGTTTTAAACTTAACATGACCTGCGGATCCCCCCTCCCCCCAAAAAAATGTTAAAACATGCTGACACCAAACACAACTGCTGACATCAAAGATGGCGTCAAGGTGGAGATCAGGCACCTTAGGACAGAGAGCTCTGGAGAAGGCCTTCACTTAGAGTAACTGGTAACTAGTAACGGGTTAAGTAACTGGTTCCCTTTAGGGTGTAGCCAGTTAAAATAATGGTACATCCGCCGAAGTAGAGAACCAATCAAAACCATTCAAAGCCACGCTCTGGATATTTGTATAAAATCTCGCAAGAAGTAAGGAAAATATGTCTTATGATTTTTTTCCGGCCCTGGAGACTGAACATGCAGCTTTTAGTCTCCTCCTGATGGGCATGTCAGTCATAGCCATGTCAGTTATAAATCTGTTTGTGTGTTCGTGTAGTTTGAGATGAAAACGAGAGTAGAGAGTACGTATGTGTTGGTCTATAGTTGGTTGTCGTAAATTGTTATGTAAAGTTTTGTTGTTGATGTACCAGGAAGCTCCTGTTATAAGTCGTAAAATTTTGGATTAATATGACTGTAGTTTTTGTAAGTGCGTCTTTTTTGCCGAACCGTAAATCTGAGAGGCGTATGTCCAGATGGGTTTGAGTAGGTAAGTGTATGTATTTAGTTTTTGTCGAACTTTCATTTTCGATTTAGAAAAAAGTGAGTACAGTATTTTCAGTCGCTTGTTTAATGTCTGTCGTTTCATTTTGACGTGTGGGCCCCAGGTCATCCTTTTATCGGATATTAGTCCCAGGTAACGTACTGTGTTTGTCTGAGGAATTTGGTTCTCTCCTATATAAACTGGTGGGCACGTTTTTCGTAACTGTAAATGTTATATGTTATGACATCATATTTAGAACCATAGATAAGTTTTTATTCCCAAAAATAGATTTACTGGTTTTAAAATATTTCATGGATTAATTCTCAAAATATACTATCTGAAATCATATCTTCACAATCATTTATTAAATTAATTGGATTATAGTCTTATTTTTAATTATTATAAATATAATTTGTACGTTAAGATTGTCACATAATCTGTATATGGTAATGGGTAATATAGTTCATTAAACACAAGAATAAAATAAGCTTTATAGTAAAAGTTATTTTAATTCTGCCATCTATTTATGTCATGATGATCAGAGGTAATGTTGGTAATTATTAAGCATGATAAATAAAAAACAGCCTTTGAGAAAAGAAATTCAATTTACTAATCTTGGAACAATGAATATATTATAAATTAAATTGTTTTTAACTTCTTTTTTTCATTATTATTAATTTTGTTTAAATATTTCTGGATAGTTATCATGCATAATTATCCAGTGCCATTTCGAAATAATTTGATCCCCAAAACATAACATTTCATTTGAATTTGTTGAGACACCAATTGAATTAATCAGTAATTATCCTGCAACCAGCCCCAGCGATGCTGGAGGCCTAAAGGGAACGCAGAGAGGGTGTAGGAAGCCCTTTCAGGAGGTGAGCAGGTGAGGTCGTCGAAGGTGGTGTTTTGTGTAATTAGCAAACTTTGTCCTGCTCCTGGGCTACTACTATTACAGGAGGTCGACGAACTGCTAGCGCCATATTTACAAAACCAGTTTGTTCACAGCTAACTTCCCTCATGTATACAATACTTAACTCTGATAAGAGAAATTTGGGTCTGTCAGTGATTTTATTTTAGTGAGTTCAACTTTAACTGTTTGAAGAAAACTTTTATCAATAACAGGTTAAAGATAAACGTTTTTTCAAAACTGTTATTCTATCTAAAACAGAAGTTATCTGTATTAAAAATTACAAATTATAATAGGTTAATAATTGTTACACTGCTCAGTAGCCAGAGTCCTTAATTTGACTTAACAACCAACATGTTATGTTATGTTATCATTATTAAAATGGCGGCAGCAGTTGAAAAGTTGCCAATGTAATAAGAAAAAGAAAGAATGATGGAACAAATATACATTTTATTATGTAGTTAACTTTGAAGTTTGATATTTCAAAACACAATTCCAATACGCCGTCCTACTAATTTTTTGTCTAATCAAATTTTTAAACCTCATATTTTATTTTATATCATGTATTAAAATTCTAAGATCGCAATTAGGGTTCGTGATAATGATTAAATTTCCTTTATTTTGAAACTTCGGTTATCAAAATCTATCGCTCCTGTAAAAAGTAATATATATAGTACATAGTGTTGACCAAATGCGAAACCGAGCCTAGTCTTGGTGATGGTCTTGGTCTAGCGCAAGAGTCTCGCAACAGTATTGCAGTTGCTCATTAGTTTATTACAGTAATTTTTCAGAAAGGAGAAACTTAACTAAACCCGAATGAAAAATTAGAGGAGTTAAATATAAATTTATATTGGTTATACCTATTATTTACATATATTAACTACGATTATAAAATATTTCACCTTAATTTTTATTTAAAAAATCATTCTTTTTTTACCAGTACTGGTCTTGGTCTTGCAACAGTTTGGCGGCCTTGGTATTCGTCTTGCAAAGTGCTAGACCAAGACCGATTTTGCGCAACACTAATAGTACCACATCACCGACATAGTAGTACATGCTAACGCTTTCATACCATTAATTTTTTTTTTCATAAGCACATCTAAGTACCGCATTATCATTATTTCTTGGCTTCCTTTTTAGTCCAAATCTTTCATAATTTTTTTGGCTTATTTCCGTTCTTTCTCCTTTCAGTTTCCTTTTCCTCAATGATGTTTCTAGATCATTGACACCTTCATACAATTCTTGATTCTTTTTAGGCCAGTACTCATCTCCCACCTTTCATTATCCATATATACACCTTAGTATCTACCTCTCTGTTTTCAGTAACTTTTAGATAGTGTTAAATCTCTTTGTTTTCATTCAACGTAACACTACAGGTTTAATTACTGTTTTATAATGTCTTGTCCTATCAATTATGGAAGAATTCTTCTTATTGTATAGGTTAAGTAGATATCAAAGTCATTTATTATTGTTTATTTATTATTTCATGTGTTAAAACATTATTTATTGAATGACTAATTATATTTCTATGTGTTTCAGGTGCGAGACAAAGACACTTATCGGCCCAGAGTACCTCCTGCGGTCCATCGCGTACACAGACAACGAGACGTACGTGGCCCTACTCCACAGGTACCGCGACCCCTTCTGCTCGGTCCCTTGGATATCCTCGTCTTCGAAGGGCAGGGCCGGGCTGAGGGGACGATCCTGGGTGTCCAGTTCTGCAGCTCAGGCCGACTTCAGCGTCGAGTCCGTCATGATCGTCGCCCATAATCAGAAGGTGATAACATTAGAAAAATAATTTTATTCAGAAACTAAGTCTCTAAGAATAACAAAAGTGTACAGAAAAATAAACATTACTTTTATCCAAAAAACCTTTTAGATTGGATAAATAATAGAACATGAGTGAATGAATGAACTAAATTTTATTTCTTATTATATTTGCAAAGAAAACATAACCAAATAAATAAATTTACGAAAAAGCTTGGGGTAACTTTTCTTGAACTTGAACTTAAATTAAATTATAGTTTTATTTTAAATATTTATTTATTATTCAACGGCTCGACAGGCGCCTGAAGCTGCCTTTGGCCCTCTCAACTGCCCTTTCCCAATCATTTCGGTCAGCTGGATACTCCCACCATCATCAAGTCCTCAGCCACGGAGTCCTTCCACCTTCCCTTCGGTCTTCCACGTGGTCTGACTCCATCCGGGGTTCCATAATATAATTTCTGGAGGAGTTGACTCATCTGATAGTTAATATCTGGGAGACTAAAAAAATGCCAAATAGCTGGAAGGAATCTGTCACCATTCCCTTACCCAAGAAGAAAGTTGCTTCCATAGACTGTAACAATTATCGGGGAATTAGCCTCCTGAATACTGCTTACAAAATATTTTCTGTTATTTTATATAATCGAATTTATTTTGAATATATTCGTTTTAAATAAAAAGACAAAATAAATATCAAAAACAGAACGTTTCTACATCAAATCTATAAGTAATCATACTTAAAAGTTACACAAGGGAAGTTAGTTGGAGATTCAGTCATTGAAAGTACACACAAATAAATTATTTTTTTTTTCATTTTAAGCCTAAGTTTCAGGCCTACATCAGGGCTGATAACTCAAAGAATTTTGACATAAATTATTTTCATATAATATTATAGCCTGCTGTAGTAGGTTGTGAGTTTTAAAAATTTAAAGACAATAGGGACTTTCTTCACTACCCTGTGGTATTTCTCTTCGTGTTTTTCCTTTTCATATTTTTTTCTTCAATTGTCCTCTGTTTTCAAATTGAGGGCAATCTTCTAGAAAGTGTTTTACAGTATGTGGTACATTATTACGTTTCGCACATGTGGTCGCTTCGAGACCTCTTATAAGATAGCACGTGTAAATTGGCACTCATAACATAATCACAAAGTATATTATAGCTCTCCCTATTCAAGAAATCTCTGATTTCTTCCTCAGTCATTGCTAGTTCTCTCTAAACGTATTTCTTTGTTAATTCTCTGAGAATAGAACCAATTGCAAGAAAGGGTAAAATATTTTCTGGCTCCACAAGGTTGTACGATGGACAATCGGCGTTGTCATCAAAGCTCCGGGGTTTCCTGTTTAGGTTACAGTGATGTCTCTGATCTCACTAAAGTTTTCTGTAAGATAACATTATTTGGAAAGGAAAATAATTTATACTTAGCCGAAAAAAAAATTTAAAACAGAAAAAAAAAGAATTTTATCGTATTCATAGGTACCATAAAGTGTGAATAACATAAAGAAGGATTTGTTAAATAATGTGCCTTTAGCCACCAGCATCTGACTGTTTTGAAAGAGGAATTGGAATGAGAGGGTTAAGGAGGAAAAATGTGGCTATGGAGGAGCCATGACGTGTTTTAAAAGGAATGGAATTCCAGAAAGTGGTGGAACGAGGAATAAAGGAGTGTTGAAATGAGGCAGATCTCTGAAAGATGTTATAAAGGTCAGAAGGTCGAATAGAATTTGTAGAGAGGGAGCGGATAGAGAATTTAAATTGAGCGAGATTTGAAGCATAGGAATAGTGATGGTTACGGTTGTTTGGTAATGCAATGTTTCTAAGATATATTGTCTACGAAATTATGGGTAAAAGCCCCACGAAGTCATTGTATTAGTGGGAAACAAGAGAACTTCTCGGGGTCTGAATGACAAATCTTGTGATGCTAATTATATATTGTTTATCATTAAATAATAAAATTCTAATATCATTTCATTTGAAAAAAAATGTAAAATCATTGAATATTAACAAAATATATATCAACAAAAGAATAGAAGTATACATTACTTAAATATATAAAGTGAATAGGAATTCCAAAATTCAATTGAAAATATGAGTGAATGAATGAAAATTCAGTATTTTTTAATAAATATATACAATTACAGGAGCTCCATTAAATACATTATTATATAAAAAAGAATCAAAATAAAGTACTATACAAATATAGAAATAAGTCGAAGAAATTTTTTTTTTTTTCATAAATAAAATAAACTAGATATATAAATTGAGATGTAAAAAAAAAACAAAATAAAAAAGTATTGACTTTGAAGATACATAAAAAAAAAATCAAATAAATATACATTAAAGAAGTTTTAAAAATAACAATAATATATTCCTACAATACAATGCAGCAGATTGCAACAGTACATATGCTCACTTCTTTGTCGAAGATAACAAAGTCTTGTGGTAAACATAAACATAGACATAAATATCAGTGGCATTTAATCATCCATAATGAATATATGATAAAGAAACTGCTTTGTTTTTTTTTTAAATCAATAGAGTGATAAAAATAGCAGATTTAAAATTTCATTTTATTAACTAGGATCTTTCAAATAACCTGAATGATAATAACATAAAAAAAATAAAATAAATAAACCTGTGTTATTGTTGGTTAGCGTTTCTTACCTCTCCTAAAAGAAAACACGCCGTGAGCTCACTGCTTAAGTTAAAACTGAAAAGTTGTTTCTTTATAGGATATAAAAAAATATATGTACGATATATATATATATATATATATATATATATATATATATATATATATATATATATATATATATATATATATATATATATATATATATATATATATATATATATTTGAACGTATGATCTTGTGGCTCTCAGTCGAAATGATACATCTGGTATCATCATGGTGATATCATGATATCGGAAGAAATTATTGAATAAATTAAAAGTTCAATTTATATTAAATTGAAAACAAATAATCAATAAACATCCTAGTAATATGTTTTTTATCCAATGTTATATTATATTTTATGTTTTTTTCTTATGCTCTGTTTCTTGATGTTGGAGTATATTTCGGCTTCTGGTGTAGATAATGTTATTGTGAATAAACATATTTACATAGACTTTTAATCTATATCAGAATGATGACACTAAGCTTTATTAAAGTTAAATTAAAGAATGTTGTTTACTTTAAAACTGCTCTTAATTTATAAAAATTCCATAAACTAAATTTGACTATCAAATAACAGATATTCTGAAATTATATATTATATAAGAAGATAACGTGAGTGGTGTGAAATGTGAGAAAAAAATATGCCAAGATTCTTCATATGAAACTAACTCCTCAAAACTTTGATTAACTTTGTATATAAGACTCTATTCACACTTCAGTTAATAAAAAAAAAATATTTTGAAATTTCGAAGGAACTGATTAAGGTTTTTTCGATGTATAAATGTATAAACAGGATCTTGTTGCATCCTGAGAAGTGATTTGGCCTAACAAAGGTGTTACTGTTAGAGGGAAAAGCAGAACTCCAGGAGATTCCTGCCCTACTATCTCAACCGCGTTACTGGTGCTAAAGCCAGAGGAGAACTTGCAGAGTTATATTTTTAAGTTTTCATTAAAGCAAAATCTTACTTTAACGAAGTTTTGAATCACCGAGTTACTAGGATGAGTTGAATTAAGAAAAATAAATGCGAAGAGGGGAATTTTTTAGTAGGTTAAGCCTTTCTTTCAAATTTAAAAAATAAAATATCTACCTACCTTTTCTTTTCTTAATTACCACGAAAAAGCTTATGTTACCTTTTTTTTTGTTTTTGTTTACCAAGATGATCTGAAAGATCTTCTAAAAGCCCTCTCCCTCCTCCTCCAACTGCTGCACAAATGGCAAACTTCACAGAGTTGATAATTCACCTTCACTTTTAGGTTAATTAATGGTTAAGCCCCGAAGTTGGCCCTATGTAACTTGGCAGGGCTTGATATAATGGCCCTAAGTTCCCTATACGAAGAATATTAAGAATCTTCTCTGCCCTCTGACTCCCATCCATTTTTGTTTAGGCTTAAAACTTACGCAACATAACTTTTGATACTTCCTAGTTATGTTTTATAATTAATGGCATTACCATTAGGACCGAAGTGAATTAATTCTCAAGAGAGGTTTAGATCCTTTTTAAAATTGTAAATGGGTATTTGACATGAAAACAAAAGATATCATTGTGGTATTGTTAATTAAAATATGTGCCTCGAAGGTATGTTGTAAGCATACATGTAGTGTATATATATATATGGGAGATAGTGTGTATACAGGACACAATGTCAGCTTTTTTATTAAATAATTTAATAACTAAGGAACCAATTTTAATAGTACAAAGTTACGAAAAATTGGCTCCCCTGAGCAAATACAGAAATTGACATGGTGTTCTTTACGGGGTACAGAAATCATGTATTTCATAAATTTAACTATTTGTATTCGAAACTAATTAGGTTAGAAAAAAATAGAGAGATGCAAGTAAAACAAAAGAAGAAGATTTTTGATATCTTGTTAATATTGTTACGCCAAAATAATCTCGGACTTGCTAATACATTTTCGCAAACAAGAATGAACAAGCTGAATCGTGTATTTGTACTCATCTTTCCAAATAATAACAAAAAATTAAACGTTTCCCAGGACTTAAGCAAAATAAAAAATAGAAAAAAAAAAGGCGTGTTTATAAATAAAAATTAAGAAGAAATAGTTAACAGTTTTAAAATATTATCAAGTTAATTTTAATAATTTAGTTGGTCTCTTCTATGTCTATGTTGATATAAGGTCAAAATTTACGTGCTCTGTTGCATATTTCTAGTTTCTAAACTAACGTTTTTAATAAATAACAATAGACTAATAGGTAATTGGAAGACTTGAGAATCTTTCTGCAAAATCAACATTAACTGTGCAATATCAACATCAAGACTGGTTAGATCTCGTCTTGGAATTGCATTTGCACAGCACTACTCGTTAACAAACTGATAATAACCCATTCTATATTCCTAGGAGTTAACTTAAGTTATTTCAAATACAGCATTAATCTAACAGTAACATCTTTATTAGTCCAAATAAATGACTTCTCAGGGTTTAACGAGAATTTATACATCGAAAAACATTAATAATTTAACAAATGTAATCAACGTTTTGAGGAGTTTGCTTTAATGAGAATCTTGACATATTTTTTTTTTTACGTTTTACATCATTCACAAAATCTTCTAATATAAATTATAATTTCTCAATAATTGTTATAGTGTTTATAAATTTTGGTAAGTAACTTATCAGTTCAACTTATCAGGGATCAATATTGTGATAAAAAATAAATTCGTTTTTAGTCCTACATTTTCCGCAATTTCTTTTAAGTTTCTTCTCTAAAGTCTATGTAAAAATGTTTATTGACAATACCATTTCCTGCACCGGAAGTCGCCATACACTCCAGCATCAAGAAAAAGAACATAAGAAAAAACATATATTATAATATTATACGTTGAAATATATATATTATATATATATATATATATATTAATATATATATATATATATATATTATATATATATAATATATTTATATATATATATATTTGAACGTACATATATGTTTTTTTATCACATAAGGAAACATCTTTTCAGCTTTAACTCACGTACTGCAGTAAACTCACATTTTTTCATTTGGGAGGGATAAGAAACGCTAACCAACGATAACACAGCCTCAAACTAAATACAAATTTAATTTAACTGGTACTTTCTTCAGGGAAAGAAAAATAAAGAAAACATGTAACAGCTGTCAGAGGCGGAATATATATTTTTAGGGTATTTTTTTCTCTGCTTTTGCTACCTCCCATGTTGGCTATCTGTTAATATTAAATTTCATCCTTTTTTCTTTGTTTTCAAAGAAAATGTTTATATTAATTAGCTCAAACAACAAATGTGTTGTACAGTAAATGTACTGCAGACACCGTCCCTTCCCTCCCCCCATTTAATATCGTCTTGTTTTAACATAACAACTACGAACATATCTGACTAGGTTTTAGCCTAGCCTATTTCTAAATGGATACTTCTAATTAATGAAAGTTTTTAAGAAACAAGACTGATAACAAAGAAAACCACTAAACAAGGCTTATTTGTCAACTGCAAGGCCCAAATTTTTATGCAATTGTTCTCATTCAGTTATATATACTCATTATATATTCAGTTATATATAACTGAATATATGCATATTACATATGCATATATTCAGTTATATGCAGCGTAAGTAAATAGAAATATTTAATCGGTTGATAGTAGATATCAAGATCTAAAAAAAAGTACGTATAAACAACCGCCCAATATGCAGCAAAAATGTAGGAACTTTAATTTTTTTTTAAGCGAGTCAAACTTTTCGTCGAATAGGAAGCGATAACTAAATAAATATTTTATTTAAGTAATTAAATATTGCTCCATTGTGAGCTATATAAAATTGATTTTAAAGAAAAGCAGAATTTGTCAAATTTAAACAGGAATTCTTTAGCTACACACAGCAAAGTTAAGGTTAAACAAAAAGGTCATGAATTATTTGTGATTATTTTTGATGATATCCTTTAATAGTACAACATTTACCCTAATTTTACAAAAAATTCCTCGTTTAATAAGATTTTAAGTCATATGAATTAATTTGAAGATTATTAGCAGAAATTTTGAGATTTAACTAAAGTTGTGTAAAGAAATGGTGTGATTTTCTATCTACAAATAACTGTTGCAAAGCTTTAATTTCTAGCTTTTCCGTGATGTGGGATTTATGTTAATTAACATAATTATCCAAAAACACATTTTACTCATAGATATAAAAAAATTTAAAAGTTTTGATTTTTTAAATATTTTCTATGTAAGATGCTTATAAAATTGTGTTTATCTCCCAGATTTCAGTTACTGAAATTGATGTACATCTATAAGTGACATTTCTAAAGTTTTTATCCCTAATATTTAAGTTTTCATGAAAATAATTGAGAAAATCTGCAGATTTCTTTATTTTAAACGTAATTTTCAATAAGAAAAACATTACGATTGCCACTGATAAATACATATAATTTTCTATGACAAAGATCTGGGAGAAAAAACATAATTCCATAATCACTAAAAGTGAAAATAATTACAAATTTATTACACTTAAATTGTTTTATTCCGTGGTATATATCCCTTTTTATCAAATTATTACAGCTTTATGTCATCGTAAACTACAAATATTTCATTTACGGAGATTATCGGAATTAGGACGTTTTCAATTTGGAGGTCGCAAACTTTTTCTATTTAATAAGGTAATAAAAAATCGTAAAGACTCATTTGCCTTCCACTTGAATCGTAAGATAATTTGAGCACAAAGTCAAGAAAAACATGGCCTTTAATAATATCGGACCTTTTGGCGTGATCTACACTCCCAAATTGCCAAAATAACGAGGTTATATAGGCAAAACGGTCCAATATTTTTGTAGGCCAGCTTTTTCATCGATTTTGTTATCAAATTATCTTGAGATACACGTGGAAAGCAAATGGGTATTTACGAGTTTTTAGTGCCTAATTAAATATACAAAGTTTGCCATCCTCCAAATTGGAAACGCCCCAATTCCTAGAATTTTCGCAAATAGAATATTTGTAGGTTGCGATGAGATGAAGCTATTTACGAAGTTTCAGCCGGATGTTGATAATTTGACAAAAAGGGGTCTGTACCACGGACTACTTACACTTATAAGTAAAATGTATTTTTAGGCATTTCAGTCTTTTCAAAATCATAAACATGACGAAATATTTCCGAACGCTAAGATAATGCAATGTTAAATTACCCTTGTTGTTATTCATTATTGCTCCTGATACTTTTTTATGTAAAGTTCTTGAGTTTCCTCCAATACCTTACAATACATAACCCTTGCACGATACACATATCTAGTCAGGTTGCTGTTGGATTCATTGTATTTATCATATTATTGGAGTTAAGTGCTGTCTCTAGTTAATTTGTCTTTTAAGAATATATTTTGTCTAAATATATTATAAAATATAAATATAAAATATATAAATATAAAATATAAAAGTAACATACATTTTAATCAAGTAAATTAAAATAATGCAGTCTGAATCGTTTAATTAGGTATGTTTATATCTTTACCGTCACTGTTCTTTATTTCAAAGTTTTTAAAGTAGATTTATATCACATACTTTTCTGCAAGCAATTATATATATATATATATATATATATATATATATATATACATATATATATATATATATATATATATATATATATATATATATATATATATATATATAAATTGCTTGCAGAAAAGATTTTAGCTTCAACTTGATAAAGCTACCTTAATTTCTCTAATGAGGAAACAATGTTCACTGTCTCCACATTTCAAAACTAGTGCATTTAAATTTGTTAGTTTAATGACGTTAATTCAATTTGCTTAATGGCTTTTTGGAAAATACGAGTGAAAACATAATGAAGTAAGTTCCTAGAACAGCTAACAGCTCTTCTCAAAAACAATTTATTAGGCTTCTAACAATGTTACGAATTTGAGCAATTATATTGTTGAACGATTTTATAATAATTTAAAACATATTATAAAGATTATTACAAATACATTTATATTTTTATTTGGTTGTTTATTTAGGCTTTACGGCGTAAAACCGTAAGGTCTTCAACGCCTGTGAGTCGGTTATGTTAGTACACTCTTTAATGGAGAAATAAAAAAAAAGAATGGACAACCAAAAATTTATAATAGATAGATTAAATAATAAATGAAAAAGATATTTAAATCATATAAAAATTGAAATACATTAAAATAAATATAAAAAAGAACAATAAAATGAAAACTATATTTATTTTTATATTTTATTTAATATTCTATGGATTTTAAGAAATTGTATCTCTGTTTTTATGTTTGATTCGTTGTTGCTTAATACTACTGGTATGTCCGGTTTTAGAGACAATCGATTTAAGCTTGAAGGATAATAAGTGCGTTCTTGGAAAATATGATTGATTGTGAGAGGGCTATTGCTTTGTTGACAAGATGGTGGTGGCTGCTTAGTGATGAGATGTACATGAGTTAGGTTCGTGTGTCCTATTCTCAACCTAGTCACGGCGACCTCCTCTCTACGATTTAAATTTTCGTATTCTGGAAAAGAATGGCCAATGTCTTGAAATTTATGTGAACCTAAGAATTTATGTGAATCAGGATAGGTTAACAGTAATTATTAAATAATCTGATAATTAATAATAGTGATTAAAATGTAATGAAATGACATTAATTTTTTTAACAATTAATATATATTCTAGACAGGTTTTTTTTTTTTGGAGGAATTCACTCAAATTTTAATTATTATGAAAAGCATTGCAATGATTCCTCCTTCGTACAACAAATATAAATGTTGAAAACAAATATTTTTATTCTAAGTTTTACATAAATTTTTCGATTAATAAGACTATAATATTTGTGCTATAATATTAAGATAATAATATTTGTGCCACCAGGCTGCAGATGAAATAAGCAGCCAGCTAAACACAACATGCCCAGGCCTCATCAAGAGGCGATGGAGACCGCACACTGACTACACTATCTACACTTCCTCAGATGCAGCTGAAGGGGCCAATGACGGAACTGGTAGGTTTAATAATAATTAATTATTATGTAGTTACTTCATATTTTTCTTTATAATAAATACATTTAAATACACGTTAAATAATTTATAGTAAGATAATAGTATTTTTCAAAATAATAATATATGAATCTAGCGAATCTAGGGAGCTATAACACGTCTCACTTTAAATTGTTCAATTTCGAGATACGTGTAACCAGTGAGTCTTGAGCTAATTATGCAGACGACACAATTATCATAAAACATCAAGATCCCACACAGGCCTCACTAACTTTACAACATCACTTACTTAATTTATAAGATTGGTTCAAAATTGTAGAAAATCGTGAAACGTATGACGCTTAAAAAACGACTAAAAATACTCTACATTTTTTTTTAAATCATCAAAACTTAAATCAAAGAAACATAATAAAATACGTACTTATTTGAACCCATATAGGCATACTTATCTCAGATGTATGGTATTGTTAAAAAGACCCACCTACAAAAACCTCAAACGTTCCAATCAAAATTAATCCGACTCGTAACAAAAGGATCTTGGTACATGACTAACAAACATCTACATAGTAATCTACCTCCACCTTCCAACAGTCGACCAACACATAACGACCCACTACCAACGATTTTATACCAATTTAAAAGGACATTGCAACAAATTTATAACAGACATGGCAAGAGCTGACATGCCTCTGAATATGAGGAGGAGTTTAAGGATACGTTGGATGAGAGATCTCCTTTATTAGACAACCTAAGTAATGAAAACCAGTCAGGGAAGAGGTTCTATGAGTACTGTTCTTCTCCATGCCTGACATTTCATTATTTCTAGTGTTACAGCACATTTGCTCATTGCCGACAAAAGTTAACAAGTGTAAATAAATACTAAAAGTAAAAAAAAAATTGTGATACGCATTGTAATACATAAGTTATAACTATTTTGAAAATTCTAAATTGTAACAATGTTTACTCATAACTACTGTATAAATCACAGCAATTCGAGCTTGGGCAGTCCGATTATTTCAATTAACTGAACTGGAAAAATTAAGAATTAAATAAAAAATAATGTAAGTAAAAATTGATAATAATTAAAAAGTAAACTTTGAAAGCGCATAGTTTAAGGCACAGTTTTTGACAAAAATCAATTCCAAGGATATTTCACTCGAATTTGGTGTAGGCAATAACAATTACGGCAGAAGTACCTAAACGTGTAACGTCTCGAGTGCCCGCGGGCAACATTGTGCCTATACCAGAAGGCTCCACGGCAATAAAAAATTAAATTACGTCGCGACGCTGCATAATTTTTTTTTTAAAATAAAATATCTCATAACTAATTTAAGGAAAATATAATGGAATTTCTTTGAAAATAGTAATTTATTATTATCATAGCATTTTGACAATATTTCTCAGTTAATATTCATTATTATTACTACTTTTTTTTTTGTTCAATAGGAAAACTAAATTACAGACCTGGTCATTTTGTATAAAAATATATGTATAATCATTAGTTGTGTGTTCATAAGTCCGTTTTTTATTCTATTTTTTCATATTGCCAGATTATAATAATTTTCTACAAGTTATCTATAAGCTAAAACTTGGTTTTAACTTGGATGCTATCTTGTACACTAACCGTGTGTTCTGAACGGCATTGCAAAACAGTATAACCTAACACCGTTCCTTCCCAACTTTAATGACAATAATCCATATTATATTTGGATTACTATGAGCTCTGAACAATTTTTTAAAATAACAATTTTTTTTAATAACTAGTTTTATTAAATAACTTTTTTTACTACAAGATTTTAATCAAAATCTTATTTCTTCAGAAATTTATGTTTTGTCAAAGCCGCAATTTCATTTTTCTTTTCACCTTTCTAAGCTGATTGTTTCCTTCACGATATTGTTATTTATTATTTTAGGAAATTGAATATGACATATTTCCTCCTCTCGTTGCTATTACGCTTACACCATATCGGTAGATGTAGTGTATCCTCGACTTCGTCAAATAACTCATAATTATTTCTCTAATTTTTTTCATTTTTAAGAATTTGTCGTATTGGTTAAATGACTAGCTGTTCCATAAGAATAATCAACATTGTCATTTCCAAAATCACACAATGTAAAATTTAGTGAAAACACAAACCGATCGATGCCCGGCATGTAATTTATATGTACATCAATGCACATATAAATCAATATATGTTCCCGGAAGTCGGAATAGGTTTCGAACTCCTGACGTAGTATAGGGATGATCTACCTGAGTCGAGGACGATAAAACCTTGAAATTAATTGGTTTAAACCATGGTTAGTTCACCATTATCCTGGAATACTAACGGAGAGAACCACTCGACATGTCTCCTCCCGCGGTGGATTGTGGTGGAGTTAGGGAGCCAAGTTCACATCAGTGCTTCCAGTGGTTTGGTTCTCTACTTCACGAATGAGAGAAATAATCTTGGGCGAATCATCTGCCAAACATTCTTCCCCGCTTCCACTAACGGTTTTTGAGGATTTGACAACTGTTTAATAATAAATAGGAAAACATTTATTTTATTTTATTTATTTGAAAAAAAAATTAAAGGAGAAAACGACTTAACTAATTATGAACCCAAAAACAAATATTTTATAAGAGTGTCCAGCTTTAAACAAAAAATAAAGACGGCGAAAACATTGTACTCGAAAAATTTAATCAGATTCCAAATTGTCAATTAGATGTGACTTATTTAAAAAAACAAAACAAAAAAAAAACGTGTTTGTTCAAGCTAAGTGGTCGGGAACGATACCTAGAGCAGATACATTATAATTTCAGGCCAAGATATCCATAAAATATTCATTTGGTTCTGGCACGGAAACCTCGAGGAATTTAGCAATATTCTGAAAAAAAATCCTTCCAATAAAAGTATCCTGTGGTTAATAGCTCAAATCATTTTGATTAAGTTCATTATATCGGTGTAGAATTATTCTTTTTTTTTAAGTTAATATTAACTGTAATCGTCAGAAAGTATTAAAATTGAGACGTCACGGAATTTCGTGACATTCGTGAAATGACGTGAAGGAATTTCCACGAGAAATAACGAAGAGGATAATAGGGTACTACCAATTATCGGTGGTCATAGTTTTGAAAAAAAAATCTTCCTCAGGGCATCCTGTAGCAAAAGAAAAGAAATAGAAGAAAAAAAAAAAACACCAACAATATAATCTCTTAATGGTGCAGCTGTTTTTAGAATAACATTTCAAAACTGGCAAGGGAATATTCAGATTTTTACAGATGGCAATCTAGTAAATAAAATACAATTTTTAATACGTAATGCATTTTTTTTTTTTATATTAGTGTATGTCACAATACTTCGATCATTCCGATTTGGTCGTGTATCCGACAAATATATATATATATAAACACATTTAAACTTTCTATTAGCGTTACGGAGTTAAGAAGCTCCCGTACATAACTCGTTAAAGTAACGAAATATAATGCATTAATACAAAAATATTTTCTAACAAAGTAAAATTCTCTTTTCATGGTCGATACAGATAAACTTTATTACGTGTTATTAGATTTTTCTCACAAGGGAGATATTTAGTACCTAAAGTTCATAAGAATTATTTTAACCTTTTTTCTACTGTTTATATTCACTGAAATATATTCTCTAGGGCACACTTTAATTAATAACTGAATGCAATATGGTACGGGTTTGGAAAGCCAATTAGAGGCCTTATTTGTGACATAGACACTGGCGTTTGTCTTTAGAGTGAGCCTAAAGTACCGAGAATAACCAAGGAAAAAAGTAAGGGGGGGGACAGGAAAGGAAGTCAAAGGACCCGAGAAGATAAAAGGAAGGTCGCCCTATTTATTTAATGGGATCGGCATGTGGTGCATCTCTTCCGTCTATATTGCTCTATCTCTAATGGGATCATAAGGTTAGATGGTTATATTGGAGCCATCGAGTACTATCCTTATAGTATATTATAAAACAATTATCGGTATCAATATTTTATAACTACGAAAGCTGAAAAAAAAATCTTTCTGATTTTTCCACGTTCATTCCGGAATTTGAAAGAAATTTCATATATAAGAATTATATATACATTGGGTGTTTTCCGGAAATTGATGCAGTTTATGTCAAACCTATTCCACTACAACCATTGAAGTTTCTTCGGTTCGGTATTTTGTTAGGAAGTATTGAATCAAGGCCAACGGTTGCACAGGAAGACGATCGGTTCAAGATCACGCTCATCCGCAAGGTTTCTTCCCTTAATTAATTAATTTAATTAAGGATACCCACTATATAGAGGCTGGGTGTGCCCCATGAGGATCTCCTGACCCGAGCGTTAATACACGACTGATGAAAAATTACTTCTCATCAGCCAGATTTGAACCCGGGACCTTGAGCTTTGGAAGTTAGTGCTCACAGTGAAATTAATAATGGTAATAATAAATTAAAATAATAATTAAGAGAAGAATAGTTGGGGTTGTCAGTCAAAAAGGATGGCAAAAAATAAATGATAATATTTATTTTTTACATATGCCGACGTTTCGACCTGAAGTTCAGGCCTTCATCAGGGCTAAGAAAATAACGGGAAAAAGAGAAGAAAGTAAGGGGTTATTTTCTTAGCCCTGATGAAGACCTGAACTTCAGGTCGAAACGTCGGCATATGTAAAAAATAAATATTATCATTTATTTTTGCCTTCCTTTTTGACTGACCACCCCAACTACTCTTCTCTTCAATATCCACGACAGTCAACCAATCACCAATTATAAAATAATAATTACAATAAGCAAATACAACCAGAAACTCTTCACTAGATTTTTTTAACAAAACTTTACACACTGATCTCTACATTCCAACAGTTGAAGAATAAGAGATTAATAAGACACAAGCTAAAAGTTGAGTAAAATACGACGGATGTGCTCCAGGAGGGTCTCTCCAAGTACGATCCACGGCTGATGAAAATGTACTATAAAGTAGTAATCATCAATAGGAATCGAACCTGGGGCCTTGAGCTTAGAAACTC